GGCGGGAGAGGGAGCTGCAGGCAGGGCGGCCGCGACCCTCCCAGCGGCGACAGGCCTGCAGGCGCGTCTCCAAAGGAGGAAGGCGAAGGGGTCAACCTACCACTCGCTGCCCAGCTGAACCCAGAGAACAAGATAAAGATGAGAAAGGGGGGCTGTCAGGGGGTCACAGGAAGGCCGAGCCCGGACGAGCCAACTTACAAACTGCCCCTCGTCGATGCCGATGACAGCCACGCCCATGGCCTCCTGGGCTACGTCCCGCAGCAGGCAGGCCGGCAGGGCCTCCATGGTGTTCCTGGGGAGAGAGCCGGGGGTGAGCAGGCCAGGGGGACCCGGGAGACCCAAACCAGAGGCAGGACCAGGGGCCGGCGCTGGCACCAGCTCTGCTGGCAGGGCAGGCTGCCATGTTTGCCTACAGCTTGGCGATGTCCGCGCCCACGCAAAGGCCTCTGGGGAGAGTAAAGGCCGGTGTGCGGAAAACCGGTTATTCTACACACGCCATTTCACCGCACGCTCAGGACTAGAAATTAGCGATGCCAACCACGTTAAGCGCTTCTCTGCTTCTCCCCGGGGCGCACGGATGACTCTCGGGCAGTGTCCAGGCCCCACGGTGCCATTAGGGGCCAACAAAATGTTTTCATTTCATTTAAAAATCGGAAGAAAAATATAACTCAGCCTTGCCCGGCCAGTGTGACTCAGTGGTTGAGCTCCAACCTATGAACCAGGAGGTCACAGCTTGGTTCCCAGTCAGGGCACACGCCTGGGTTTTGGGCTCCATCCCCAGTCGGGGGGCGTGCAGGAGGCAGCTGATCTATGATTCTCTCTCATTGATGTTTCTCTCTCCTCCCTTCCTCTCTGAAATCAATAAAAACATATTAAATACATTTATGTATATCTCAGCCTTGCGTCACATCTGTCTCCACATCAATGCAGTCATAAAATATAATGTACTTTTTCCCTTTGGCTGGAGGAAGACTCACGAAGGCCGAGTGCCCAGGAAGGCGGTGGCGTGGCCCGGGCAGAGCTCAGCAGCAGTGCGATGACCTAGGACTCTGGCACCGGCTCCTGGGCAGCGGAGGGACTCCTCCAGGGCCGCCCGCCGCCTGGGTCCCGGGGGGGGTCCCACCAGCAGTGTGGGCGGCGGGTGGGCAAGT